ATAAGTTTTAAAGTTAGAATTAAATTCTGCTAACACAAAACATGTTTCTTTTTATTCCTGGCTTTAAAGTGGATATTAAAGTGATTAATTTTAAGTGATTGTTTAAAGTTATTTTAGATTTTTTTTTTAAATTAGGGGCAGATATAAGACTTTTTTTTCTTCTTTCTGCACTCTTTTCATTCAATGTTGTCTATTTCATGATTTATTTTTTTTTTACTTTTGTTTATTTTAAATGAATGAAATAAATTAAATAAAATGTTAAATGGCTTCAAACACCTGATAAGTTCATGGCATAAAGCAACAGATTTTCCCATTTTTAGTATTTTACATCACTTTATAATGTAGCTGTGTTTCTTTTTAATATAATTTTCAAATCATATGTTTTTTTTTATGGGCAGCACGGTGGCACAACTGGTAGAGCTGCTGCCTCTCAGCACACATGTTCCTGGTTCAAACCCCAGTCCAGGGGCCTTTCTGGGTGGAGTTTGCATGTTCTCCCTGTGCATGCGTGGGTTTTCTCCGGGTGCTCCGGTTTCCTCCCACAGACCAAAAACATGCATGTTAGGCTGATTGGTAACTCTAAATTGTCCCTAGGTGTGAGTGAGAGAGTGAATGGTTGTTTGTCTCGTTTGTCTCTATGTGGCCCTGTGATGGACTTGCGACCCGCCCAGGGTGTACCCCGCCCCCCGCACAGTGATTGCTGGACATGGGCACCAGCGACCCCCGTGACCCAAAATGGAATAAACGGGTAAAGATAATGGATGGATGGATGGATGTTTCTTTATGATTGTTTGCTGTTGTACTGATAAATATCTCCTGGAGGGTAAACTATATCTTGGCTGCAAGTATCAAGCTGTGAAATATTTTGTTTTCTACAACTGATAGTGGTTGGTCATTATCCATCCATCCATCCATTATCTTTACCCGCTTATTCCATTTTTGTTTTTCCAAAACACTGTTTATGACATACATATATGCACACATTATATATATATATATATATATATATATATATATATATATATATACAGGTCATTCTAAAAAAATTAGCATATTGTGATAAAGGTCATTATTTTCCATAATGTAATGATAAAAATGAAACTTTCATATATTATGAATACTCCACATGTAAAAGTAAATATAATTTTTTAAAATAAACATGCGATGTGGCAGCAAAAACTCACTTTTTACAGATGATCCCAGGAAACACAAGGAGCGAGGTATACATGAAGCGAGAATGACCGGCTGACAAGGAGTGAGGAACACAGGCTTAAAACAATAATAATTTCTGTACATCTTCAGATAATTCTTTTTTTGTAGTCAATATAGTTCAAGAAGGCATTCACAGCTACTTCACCTAATCCTACACATAAATGGCTATACTTCAGATAATAATATTATTAAAAAATACAGGTTTGACCAAAATGGCTATAATGTTGTCATTTCATAACATTGAACATTTTAGTTTAAAACGATGGCATACAATTGGCAGGCCATATATATTAAATCATAGAATGCATAACCTTTAGAAGAAAATCATTCATATATACTGTACATTCCCACAACTGTGTCAAGTTGCATGTATGTCTATAAAGACAAACACAAACAGAAACACACATGGATGAACATAAGTTTAAACTTACAGTAGATGGTTGGTAGCTCTCCATGTTGAGTGCCCACTATTGAAGTGACTGGATCGATACAGTGGAGTGAATTGCCAATTTCAGTTTGTTCCATAGAAACCGGCTGCCACTGCATTCTAGAGGAAAGGCACCTGAAATTGACAGTGGCAGAGTGAAATTGGATTTGTTCAAAGAAAGAGATTGAAAAGTGAACAAGACTGTCCCAGAAAAAAAAAAAAAAAAAACTTGAACATTTACATCTCTACTGACAAACACAAAGCACTTAAAATGTGGTTTATTTTCTATGCATCCATCCAATTTTCTTTATCCACTTTTCCTTTCTGGGTCATGAGCAATTGGTGCTCATGTTCAGCAGTCACTGTGCGAGAGGCGGGGCACATTCTGGACAGGTTGTAAATCCATCACAGGGGCACAGAGAGAGAAACCACTATTCCCATTCTCTCACACACATAAAAATAGTTTAGTTACTAATTAAGTTAAACATGAATGGTTTTGTCAGTGAGAGGAAACTAGCATAATTATAGAAAATGCATACATACACGTGGAGTAAATGAAAATCCATCCAAAATGCTACAAAGACCGAAGGCAATTCTGCAAACTTCTCACTGTCAGGTGACAGATCTAACCACTTAACTACCATGTCACAGGGATTTTAATTTATTGTTGCCTATTCATGGTCCTAACTGTTGTTTAATGGAAGCATAAACTCACACAAACCAAAAACTCATCTTGCCAATTAAAATGTTTGGTTTATGGAATTCACCCTCCCTTTTGGAAGGAAAAATTATTGCTTCTTGACTGTAAATGGCTCTTTAGTACTCTTCATTCATTACATAGACCAAAATCCTCACAAATCTAGATGCTGTGATAGGTGAGCAGGGATGTCTGGCCACTCACTGTGAAGTTTCTTTGGCTTTACATTCAAAGGATCTTCAGCAAATGCACTATTTTTTGTCTTCAAGCTGTTTTAAACATGGGGGAAACACTCCACACTGAAAGCGGCATGTTCTGCACAGGCCTCTGTCAGAGTGGGGTGAGACAACATTTTATTATTTTAAAAACTTTTTTCTGGCAAGGCAACAGTAGAACTATTTGTTTTACATATGCCTTTACTGATTCCCGTGATCAGAATAGAATGTTGCTCTAATCACTTCTAAACAACAAATGCTCAATGTTTGAGTTATTGCAAGTGTCACAGCATCTGTTCAGACATCTGTCCTCATGTTCAGGGAGAATGTTTAAAATATATTGTAATGAATATTGAGTATAATTAATAGCAACAGTAGTAATATGGAAAAGTGTGTGTGTGTGTGTGTGTGTCCTTGTTTATGCTAC